CCTCAAACTCATCTACCCACTTTAGAATTCTCGTTTATACCAACTCAAACCCATCTTATATTCAAATATGACTTGCACACACTTCCTAAAAAGGATTTCACTGTAGACTGTATGCTAATTACATTTTAAATTTAATTTTTAAAAAGTTTTTCCTTATGATCTCAGAACTGTAACTAGTTCTAATTCTAGCTAATGTAGTCGCACGCTGTGTTTATAGAATACTTCTTCCTCTCCCACCTGCCTTCTCTGTCTCTGAGTTAGAATGCCATTTTCTGAACATTATGGAGTATTGAAGGTGTGAAAATGGAGGGTGGTCATAAAAACATACAGGCACATGGGTTTTGCAGAATTCATTCATGTATTCAAGTCACAATACTGGTGAGGCACTGCACTATGTTCTGGGGATATGTGTGTATGCAATAATACAGTACTATCCTCACAGAGTTTACAATCTAGCAAGAAATATAACATAAAAAAGATCTGAAGGCAACAATGAGATAAAATAAGACTGTAAAACAGGGGCACTTTTCCTAGGCCAGTTGTCAAAGTATTTCTGGGGAAAGAAATACTTAACCTGAGACATCAAAAATGTAAGAATTGGCCTGGAAAGAGAGTATGTGTGGAGGAGACAGGGTAGGGAAGAGAGATGGGGAAAGCACATGCTTTCTAGGCTGGTGAAGCAGTATGTGGGCATGAACTTGATATATCAAAGCAATTGCAGCAAGATCAGTATAGATTTTGAGCAAGGGAAGCGTCTTCCAGGATGAAGTGGGGTCTTGCGGGGCACAAAACTTTACTCTGACAGTAGTCAGAAACCAGAGTAGAATACTAAGCTAACTCATAGATCTCAGACATTTTACCACTGTGGTCTCTCTGTTCTGGACAGGCTCTCACCATTATGCTTCTGATGTAGGGCAGAGCTCTAACCTCACCCTCCAGACAGGATCCGGAAAATGCAGAGTAGCCTGGGCCACCCTTGTCTTTGTTCTGTTGCTTGGATGATCAGTTTGTCACTTTGTGTTGTATCACACAGACCTGTGGTCAGCTAAAACCAATACCTAGTTTGGGTCAGTGTTTTGACCCTAGATGGTCTACAGCTGGACTACAAAGGAAATTTAATTCAAATAGAAATACCTGGGATTAAATTTCTCTTCTATTTCTCCATCCCATTCAGCCATATGACTAAAAGAGTTCTGCTTTCATTCTTTTTTTTCTTCTGAGTTTTTCTAATTATGAAAGTACACTTGAAAATACATAAAAATATAGAAAAACAATAAAACTAATTAATATCTCAAATAGAGTTATCCACTGTTATTTACATCACTTGCTAAATATCCTTTTTTTATAGTTAGGATCATACTGTAATATAGTTTTTTTCCTTAATTTTTTCAGTTGTCAATGGGTCTTTTTAAAAATTGATTTATAGGTGGTACTGAGAATCAAACCCAGGACATCACACATGCTAGGCAAGCACTCTACCACTGACAACCCGAGCCCCATAATATAGTTTTATAGCAACTATTATTAGATCATAAGAATATATTTTCAAATGTCATCAAATGATCATACATACTTTTTGTTTCAGGACATTTAAGGTTTGTTTTGTTTTGCTTCATAAATACAATGAATACCTTTATATTTAAATATTTGCTTGCATTTAAGAAAAGTTCCTCGGAATAGAACTCTAAAACCATTCAAAACTTATTTGATGCATATTTTTAAACTTCATTACAAAATTAATCGGCTAATTTACACTTCATCGTGTACTCCAAAATAATGAAATAAAAAGTAAACCAAACTGCTTAATTAGAAGAAATATTGTTTTATTATTGTCTTGACTTTAAACTCTAATTACTGGCAAAGTGAAAGATTTCAAATGTTTAAGAAGCCACTTGTATTTCCTTTGTGTAAACTGTCAGTACTTACTCTATGTATTGTGGTTTCATTGATTTTCTTCTAAATTCATAGAATCCTTTCATGTATAAAGATGTTAAGCCTGAGTTTGTCATCCCGATATATTTGGAAATTTTAATCTTGGCTGTGATTTTTCTAAAAACTCTAGATAAATCTTAAAAATACAGCCTTAACTGAACATATAACATTTGACTACTACTGCAATGAAACCTATAGTGATTTCTTCGTTTGATTTACTTTCTCTTTCAGTTTGACACAAGCTAAAAAAAAAAAAAAGAAACAAAAAAACACTTTCATAGACTTCAGTTTAAATAAAATTTATATAAACCCCTTCAAATGCAGTTAGAAATAAGTCAGGAAGATTCTTACTTCTCTAATAAAAATAAGGACTTAAAATGTAATTGGAGGTATGAGTTGGGGCCTGCCAAGGCTGAATTCCAAGACTTGTCTTAATATTTTACAATGTGTATGTGTGTTTCTTTAAACGGAGCTCTGGAAAAGAAATCAAGATTCATGTAATTATTTCTTTTCTGGTACGTGGTAGCTACTCAGACACCATCAAATGATGTTAACTTATTTGATGAAGTATTTATTTAAATTCTCATCTTAAATCTATTTTCCTTAGCAAAGACTTTAGGACCAAACAGCTCTGACCGTATTTTCTAATGTGTAAAGTGATTCCAGTGTTTTTCTCAGACTACTCCTGAGAGCAAATGTAAAGTATACAGCAAGCGCCAGCACATAGTAACATCAAACACAACTCCACCTCTCCCTCCTGTCTCGGCCATAGAAGACTGAAGTTCCTCAGAAATAGCAAGTGTACTTTTGAGTATAACCATTCTCTATTGGCATCAATCTTGAGGGCAGGCCAAAATGATATCTGAGTAGAAAAATAAATGGTGGTTAAATTCTCCTGGTTATTCACTTATTTCACAGACTTGAGAATCAAATGTGTGGGAGTGTGCAAGGCACTAGTAGACACAGAAAAATAAAAATTCTTGTTGCATTGATTAAACAGGATGCTACTTCACCAGTTAATACTCTGAGATATATTTAATTGAATGTTGGCACTAGGTCTAGCTCTGCCTGTTGTGCTACTCCAGTCTGAAATTTCCCTGGAAAGAAGGAATTATTACACTGACCACTAGTACTGAGGTATAAAAGTGCTATGTGATAATCTAGAAGAATCAGAGAAAATAAAGTATTTATTGAGCCAATTAAGTGTGGAGACAAGGGTTCTTAGTATACACATGGTGCCATAGACAGCAGAAGAAATAACATGTGTGATGCTGATTCATCTTTCTCAAATAGAGCAGAGAACTGACTACTTTACCCTCTGTGGAATATTCAAGTTTCTGGAAGCAACACTGCTTTTCATAGTAAGTACAATGAACTTGGATGGATTTGATTTAATTGTCTTATGATTCATATTTTTCTTGCACAATATTTTTTATCTTTAAGATGTGTATTTTTAAAGCTTTGTAAAACTGAGAAATTTGATTTTAGAGAAGAATGGTAAGAAAGGAGACTACCTCTTACCTACTCAGTTTGTTTTACTTAATAGAATAGGAACTTGAGTTTTATGACCTACAGAACACCTATTGCCAATAATGGAATGCTCAAATTAAACTTTTTTTTTTTTAAAAAAAAGGCAATTGTTTTCTGAAACTTGGCAAACCCTAGTTAGAAGAGTACTTGTAAGAGAAACACAGGGCTTTTTCTTATTTATTTCAATATGGGCACTTCTATCTTCCTCTAGTACCTCTAGATCAATCAGGTTCTAGATTATTTCTGTTTGTTATTTCTAAAAGCAGACCTGACTCAGCACATTAAATAATTTCCACTGGAGGCTCTTTATTCCTATAAGAAACCAGCTACTTAAATATCATTTAAGCTTCACATCTTATGTGAACCGAAGAGTATTACTGTTGTAACCACGATGGTTTGCAGTCTCAGGTTTCCCCCTCTTTTAATCCAGTTGTGTTTGTGATTATCTGGGAGCTGATGTGAAATCTGACAATTAGAGCATTATTAGTAAAAGTCACCTTTTCAGATCATAAGTCTTGAGTATTTAGGAGACCAAGTCAACAGGAAAACTAAACTTAGAAGAAAAAGCAAAGGACATACAAGAAAAATAAAGGAAAAAGGAAGAGATAAATAGTAAAGAAAAAGAAAAGGGGAAAACTTTAGGCTAATGTGGGTATGTTTTAATTAATTTGGTTATTTTCTGAATCTTTTGCAATTCCCCATCAGTACACCAGAAAATTGGTTTTACCTTATGTTGGGATTGTGGGAAGTTTTAAAAAAAAATCTGGGGAAAAAATGCATTCTGCTGTCATGTATAACAAATTAGAATAAATTTAAAAAGTTTTTAAAAAAGAAATTTGGGAAAAACAAAAATCTGTCCTGGCATCTGTGCATAGGCAATGTGAGGTGTTTTATTGCTGAATTATTGTCATTTTATAAGTAAAAGCCAAAGTAAACATTTGCAAAAATAATTTCATCAATACTACTGATTACATCTTTAAGGCAATAACCACTCCTGAGATTGTGCTTGAAATAGGAATCATTAACATTTCCTATCTGCACCCTTTCTAATCACTATGTGCCTTCCAATATATACATGTATTCAGAAGAATATATGCTTGATTCACCTAACAATTTGTAAATATAATTGCTTGGTACATTCAAAATTCAGCTCAGTTTTTACATGTGGGGCAAAAAACAGTCTAAACAATCTAGAGAGTGTGCTGTGACATTTGAAGCTGATTTTGACATGTTCAAAAACATAGCTGAAATTTGGTTATCATATATACTTTGCTTACTACAAAATATCTTTTCTTTTGACCATTCTCCTTTTATTTTCACCTTGTTCTGAAATGTGTAAAAAGGAATGCCAAATATTCATTCCTTCCTTTAATTCACATCTTCTGTCCCTGACAGTTTGGAATTATAACACTGACAGATGTTTTAAAAGTAAAAATAGAATAGGGGAAGATTAAAATGACAGAGGAACAAAATTTCAAAAAGCTAAACTGTGTACATTATTTACCTGATATCACTAAGAGGATGCTTCTCATAACGTGCAGAGGATTGCCTTTAGCTCTTTAGCTTAGTTTTACTCTGCTTTACTTCAAGGAGTTTGAAAGAAGAGAATCTCAAGGACATCTTTTAGGTAGTGAATAATCTTGGTTCTTTCTTACAACATTACTGTACTTCCAACACTTCACCAAATAATCCAGGAACATATTTTATTAATTTATTTGGTGGGAGGGTGTGCGAGTGATTGCGTGCACAGGTGCATGCGCACGTGGCAGGAAGGTAAGAGGGAGAGGAGATCATCAGAAAAGGCTTCCCTGGTAATGTTGTGATACACAGAATAACAACTTCATTTGAAGACAATTTTGCTATTGACTTATTGAAATACTTTTAGGGCATGAGGGGTTTGTAAAAAATTATCTGAAAGTACAAACAAAATCAGGATATCCCCATATACCTTTTTCTTTGCTGCCATTATTTGGTTTAAATCTTTTTTTTTAAGAGAGAGAGAGAGAATTTTAGTATTTATTCTTTAGTTTTCGGCGGACACAACATCTTTGTTTGTATGTGGTGCTGAGGGTCGAACCCAGGGCGCACGCATGCCAGGAGAGCGCACTACCGCTTGAGCCATATCCACAGCCCCATTATTTGGTTTATACTAGACTTTCACATTCACTTCATTTTAGGGTATTTGACATGCAATAGATTACGTTTCCAACAGACACACAGTGAGTCCTTCCAAACCAATCATTTGTAACTTTTCAGAGGAGAATACAAAAGTAATTGTTTTCACATAAGCTGAAAACACACTGGCTTGGTCTATATTCTCTGGATTCTGGAGGAAAAGTGCATATTTGTTTCTCTAAAACTTTTGCTACATCCCCATTTCTGTTTTTCACACTCCCAATGTGGGATTGTGTGTGTGTGTGTGTGTGTGTGCGCGCACACGTGCACACACTTGTACATGGTGTCAGTTACTGCTGTTGTTAAAGGGGTTTCAGCCATGCATGAGGGATGAGAGAATACAGACTAGCTTTTAGCTAAAGGTAGCTATAGGTAAGTGACAAACTGTCAATTATCTCTGAGTTTTGAAAGTTAATAAGGTACATCTTTGAAGGTTGGCTTCAGAAAGAAAACTCTGAATGTCCTAGCAGCATGATAAAACCATTAGGAAATGTTCTTCTGTTTTACTTAATTTTCCTTCAGTTTGAAAATATTTCCATTTTGCTTTACAGTCAGAAGGCTTTCTTGCTCAACCAGGGCTTGCTTCCTTTGTTTCTCCCTTCCTCTATGGCCATGGTGTGACCGGGAGTCTCCAGCAGGAAAGCAAATTCTAGAGATGTGAGATAAAAGGAAAAGTTTATTGTGTGTACGTGCATAAGTACAGTTAAAAATAAATATTTGAACAAGTCCACAAAATCAGAGCCAAAAAGGAATAAAGAAAAGAAGAACTCAAAAGTTATGCTGCCATTGCCTTTTGTGGATACCACATCCTACCACAGGTTGGATATTTGTGATGACAAATGTTAGTATTTGTACATCAGTCAGTGGGTGCATTTTAAACATAAATAGTATTAAATGTAGTAGAGAAAAACTCTAAGTCCCCTTCCTGATTCATTTTACAGACACTGCAATGGCATCAATAATGATTGAGTCTTAATAGTTCACTGTAACTGAGTGTTGATATCTGTATAAAATTCATAGGCATTTCTACTGTACCAGATGATGTGATTCGATGATTAAGAATCCAGATTGGATCCAGACTTCCTGAATTCAAATCCTGGCTCTGTCCCCAAGATCTACATGACCTTGACAAAATAGCTTAACCTCTCTTTAAATCAGTATTCTCATCTGTATAACAGTCTTCCCAATAATACCTATTTCAATGAATTGTGGAAATTAAATGAGTGAATGCATACAGGATGCTTAAAACTGTGCATGGTACATAGAAATATTCAATAAATATTAAGTGTTGTTACTCTTCCAGCAATTCCTGCTAGAATTTTTAGGATGAAAATAATGACTGGGTATTACTGTATTTTCTAATTTTCTACTTCACCCATATCTTGTCTGTAAGTCTCAGTTTAGCTCAACTTAAGGTTATGATTCCTGTTATTATAGGAAAAAAAAACCTTCAAAGTTGAGAAGAATTTAGCATTGTATAGTTGGATCCTGCATGTTGTAGCCATCCCAGATATATTTTTTCAATTTCCCGGATTAGCTTGATTCTCTGTATTTATTTATTCACTTACTTGCTTATTTATTTATTTATTTTGCAAATCCAGTTCCTGGCTCCTAAGGTGCAGTTTTAGCCACATATATGAATCGTCTACTTGGCACTGCATCCTCCTATTTTTGTCTACTTCATCTGTCTGTCTACATTATGATTTCCAGCTGACTCTGTCCCTTGAATTTAGCTTCCTAAGATGACTCCAACCCTTTGGCGTGCTCAGAACTTCAGGCCTATTCTGTCTCTTTCAGTTTTGCCTCTGCTACCTCTAGTTCCTTGCTGTAAACTTAAAATGAAAAAAAAAAATGAAAACACTTTGGTTTAGCAGCTTAATCTTCAAACACATGGACAGGCACTCTGATTCAAAAAACTGCAGAAAGTAGCACTGATCTACCCATTTTAGGGTACACCAAAATCACATGGAGGGGGTACACATTTAAAATGAAGATTTATGAAGACTTTTCCCAGAGATTCTGATTAACAAGTCTTGGATGAAACTGATGAATCTGCATTTTAACCCACTTACTTGATGATTCTGATATGTGTGGTCCAAGAACCTTAATTTAAGAGATACTTTACTAATTCTTTTGCTTTTGAATATATAGATAGCTGTGTGGGTCTCTTTTAAACTCCTTTGAGATATTCTGGAAAGCATTGTTCAGGACTGCCTAAACATTAATTTATAGTCAAGGGGAAGATTTGCATTAAAAATAATATTTTCCTCAGAATTCAAATTTTTTCATGACCCTGATTCTTATGGCAAGTAAGATGGCTAGTGATATTTTCTTTTCAATAGCATACCTTCCATGAGATGGAAAAGTCCCAGACTTTTCCAGATTTACTCTTTATATTATTTTTTGTTCAGAATTATCTATGACTTACCTCTCTAGAAAACTATGCAGTCAGAAGATCTAGGAGAAAAATAAGTTGTTCTCTAAGTTTTTACTGTTGAGTCAAGTTTTTACTCCAACTTTTTTTCTCTTCATTTAGGCACCCACATGCCTGCATTAAAGTTTCATGTCACCACCACTAACCTCAAGCCAGAGGCTAGGAGAGAATAATGGAGCTTTCTTCACTGAGCAAGGCTGAGTAATGCCATAGTTTCACCTCCCCTGAGGCTCAGTATGCTCACTGTAGCCCAGCCAACCCTGGAAGTGGTTCAGCCCCAGCCGCCTGCCTACATGACCCGAATGACTATCCTTGCCAGACCCCAAGACTTCTGTCTTTGAGGGATTTAAACTTTGCTGGCAACATTGAATCCATTCTTCTTCCTGGTTTCTCTGGTTTGGTAGGTCTTCCACTCCGTAACACAGTCAAGTGTTGAGCGCCTGTAACTTGCTAGAGCCTAGCTATGTGTTAGAAAAGTAAAGAAATGATCACTGTCCTCCAGGACCTCATTAACTATACAGGAAGCCAGAAAAATAAACGGCTACTGTGCAGCATGCATGGCTCCATAACTGAGGATGGGATGGATCAAGTGACCAAAGGGCTATCATACCTACACTGCCATTGGCAGTGTCCTTGGAATCTTTGAGACTCCCTGGAAGGAAATTCCACTGTCAGCTAAACTCTCTCTGCTCATGACTGAGCTTCTAAATAACCAATGCATTCCCAGAGTCTGGGCTAATGACATACTTTGAGTTCTTCCTTTACCACCCATGAAACATGAAAATTTCTTCAAAGTCTTCCATCTCTCCTCAATAGGAAACAATTTCTCTTTCCTTTGAAATTCCATAAGATTCTACCTTAACATCTCTGTGGTACTTGATGAAGATTACCTTGTATCATGTCTATATAACTACGTGCTTTTTCTTTCCTTGGAGTTAGAAATTCATGAAGAACACTTTTCTTATCTCAGTACCTTGCACAGAGCATCCCACGTAACTGATGCTTAATACATATTTCAAAAAAAGGAATCGAGGAAGATAATGCACTCTGACCAAAGGTCCTGAACCTAAGGTGTCAGATTGCTCTTATCTAAAAAATTTCCTGGAAAGACTACAGCAAATTCAGGTTTTTTTTTTTTTTATCTAAACAGACTATGCTAAAATACAAATATCACATATTCTGATCACTTAGTTTTATTTTTAGTAAACATGTCATTCATAAAAAGTTGGTAATTTTGAAGTCTTAAGTCTTTTAATTTGAGAAAATGATAGTAAAAATACTAGTAGAACTGTCTCCCAAACTGCTAAGTTTAAATGTTTTTCCTTGACCTTGAAGACAAAGTGTGTGTTGGGAGGGAACTAATGAAAAATACTAAATATAGACAGTTTACTCAAATTCTAAGACAGCAAATTTGAGTAATTTTGAAATAAAAGAGAATAAAAGTGAGCATTTGCAAAGACATTGACAATGTGATGGACTAGAAATTGCTTTCATGTAAATTCTCAGCCACTGGCTGACATTGGCTTTAGGACTCTTTTTTACATATCAGAAACTGGTGCTCAGAAAACCTGAATTACTTGGATAATATCCCCTGTTTAATATGTGGAGGAACCAGGATGCAGATCTAGTTCTACCTAACTCTAGACCTCATCCTCTTCATATTTTTTTAATATCTCATTCATTCATTATTTATTTCAGATCAGATCTTGCTATGTTGCCCAGGCTGACCTTGAACTCACCATCCTTCTGCCTTACTCAGTCTCCCAAGTAGCTGGGATAACAGGGACATGCCACCACACCCAGGTTCATTTTCTTTAATTCTGCTGCTTATACGTCAGAGATGCAGCTGAGCCACCAAATTGGATATCATAGATATCTCATTTTAATACATTTTAATGTATTCTAAGTAAAATTAATAATTTATCCACTCTGAAGAGGTAATCTTTTAATGGCTACATTATTGTTCAAAGCTCTTTCATACTATAATATGCAGGTTTAGAATGGAAATACATAATTGCACTAAATAGCTTTGAAAACAATATAAAAGATTAGATATAGAACCTGGAAGAATCTGCAAAATAAGTTATCATTCCATTTAAAATCACTAAAGTGAGGGTTTGGCAACACTCTGGAAGGAATGTGCCAAGCTGCTGATTCTTATGCTCCTCATAAGGGTTTAGAGTTGGGATGGGAGGAGAATGTCTTATTATACTTAGGAACTTTGTTTTTCTAACACTGAATTCTTTTAGTTATAAAATGAGAAAAATATTAGTACCTACTTCAGGAAAATGTGGAATAACATGATATATACAAAGTGCTTACCAGAATGTTTGAATAAAGGTGGTCTATTTTAATTATCCTTAAATCACAAATGATCATTAATTCAGCAAATATTTATTGAGCATCTGAAAGTATCAGGTATGATATATACAATGGGGAATAAAACAGACAAGATTGCTGACCAATGAAAATGTAAACCAAGAAACATTTTATTAAAGAGTAGTTATATTGCCATTATAATTGCATTTACTGATTGTAGAATGTTGCCAAGTGCTTTCCTGTCAGTCACATGAGTTAGCATTATTATCTCTATTGAGGGATGAAGAAATAGGCTCAGAAATAACAAATGACTTGGTCAAAGCCAAAGAGCTACTGTCTAAGGGATCTAGGATTTACTCCTAAGCTGTTGGTTCCAAAGTCTATAGTCTACACACCAGAAATTCTTCTAGGTCCTTGACTGAAGCATTTCCACAAATTATTCCATGTATTTTCAGAATAAGTATTTTTGGAGCATGGTGATAGCTTCAGATAGTGATGGGTTAAGTAGCTTGCTACAATGAATTGGGGTAAAAGTAAAAATCCATGATGAACTAACTCTCTCTCTCTCTCTCTCTCTCTCTCTCTCTCTCTCTCTCTGATTATTTAATTAATTAATTCAGTTTTTCAATGAATAGCTACTGCCATTCACATTTCAAACTCTATTTTAGGTTCTAAGCATATAATGTGAACAAGTCAGATATAGTCCCTAGCCGAATGACATTTATATTCTAGCAGGGACAATAGAAAAGAGTAAATAAAAACAAAAAATAATTCCTAATTGTTAAAATTTTATAGAGGACACAAACAATAAGCTAATAAATAGAATATTGAAGAGGGTTAGTAGCTACACCTGAGATGCTATAGTCAAAAGAGCCTCAATGAGGAGGTGAGAGCAA